AATAGAGAGCCTGAATCATAATACATCACAAAAAAACATTTCAGTACTTTCAAATCTAATTTCTAGGCTATAGTTCATCAAACCCGCGGCGCGACATCGCGCTCAAACTAGCAAAGCAAGCCTAGCTAGATGACCTGACGCTTTGCAGCATTGTCATGTTGCTCAAGCTATGTCGTGGTGCAAACGACAACGCTTGTAGCGCCTCTTTTGTCACTCTAACCGTTGCTCCACTGCGCTAAATCAGGCCCCGATTTTTACAAATCAGTCCAAAAGTATGGTAAAAATTAGAAAAAAGGCCCAAAAGCATTCATTACAGAGTACATCTGAGGGAACATTCCACGATAACCGCATAGGCGAGAACTCGTCACCACTCGGCCTTCCTCATTGATGCGCTCCTATTTCCAGAATGTAAAGGGTGGTGCTGGTCACCGGCAACATTTTTTAATAAAATGAGAGGAGGGTGCCAAGAGAAAGGTAGGTGGAGGTGAATCCCCACCCCAGTCGTGATCTCACGCCCTTCGTGACCTTAGTGCCATGCATCTCTAATAGACGTGGAGCTACTGAAAAAAACCTGCAACTCTTTCGAGAATACGACTTCAACTGTAAATAAAGTGAAAACAAGCGTGTGCCCCCCCCCCTCCACCTCCATCCACGATTGAGTTGTTAAGTGTTAACTGTAAGGCTGCGTTCATACTTCGCGCGCGACTTGGCGTATCAGGCAGGTCACGCCATCGCGTTGTGATCATTTCCTGAAAAATACGACCCCCTCTAGTTCCATCCTCAAATACGACCCCCCTACCTACCACTTTCCTAGATTTTCCCAACTTCCTACCACTTTTTCCATTTTCCCGAAAAAAATTTCAGTTTTTCAGCCAAGAATTTTCCGTCGAGCTAGGAGGGGGAGGGGTATATACCCAATGTGAAACAGGAAAATTTCTCAGATTTTCCCTAACCTCCTACCAGTTTTTCCGAAATTTCCCGAAAATTTCTGGTTTTTCCCCAAAATTTTGCTGTCGAGCGGAGGAGGAAGGGGAGGGGAGGGGGGTCGTCAGGATTCAACTATCATTTTCAAGTATCGGTAATAGTAGTTGTATAGATCTTCAGCAGTCCTCTCCAACAATGATCAAATACGCATCCCCTCTCCTCGCGCGTCAATACTACCCTCCCCCTCCCCCCACCGCTTGTGCATCGTGCTCAAGACTGGGTTGCCCTGGTATCAAGACAAGCTCAAGCATGCTGTGAACGAAAAGCGATTAGTGATGAAATATTGGAACTGGCGTTTACCGAACTGAAAGAATCGTAGTCGTATGGGTGCCGAGCGGATAACTATTTTGCCGCTTCGCTCAAAACTTATGCCAAAGTGCAAAGATAATGAACGCAGCCTGACTTGCATATTAATATGATAATGTATATCAGACTTGCTCTCACCTTGATCAAACTTTAATATTTTGACGAAATTCTGTACCATCGCCACAATATTGAGATTATAAAGTAATGCAGTACGTTTGAAACGTAATCTCAGTTAGAATGTAATAAAGAAAATAATTTATTAATTGTTACAATTATGAACATGACCTGGCAATGGAATCAGAAGCATATTTTCATGGACAATTTATAGCATAGCCTAAACCAAAACTCTTATCCCAGTTTGCAGAATATCACATCACTCTAAGCCATATCACACTTCTACGAATTCATGCGTGCGGTCGTGTTGCGGTCGGAACGGCCTTGTTGCTGTAGCTTTTCTCGAGGCCGCGATAAAGGAATGAAGGATTTGTGGGAGCGTCACCATGCACGACAAGTGCTGCTACCAACTACAGTACTGTATCACAATTATTTCACCAAAACCTTATACACCAAGTCTATCTTATATTGCAGACATTATCAACTTAAAACAATGCAACGTGAACAAGTAATGCATAAGTGTACTTGACAGCATAAATACTAAAACCTTTAAGAAGCGGAATCACACAGCAAAATGGGCAACGTCGGTAAATCGTGTCCACATTAGGTGGAGATTAAACGTGCGGTTGCGGAGCAGCTTACTCGTCAGGTATTGGAACATAGAGGTGGGTGGATCACACGTTAGGCAGCGTTCATACTTCGCGACAGCCGGCGATCGCCGCGATCGCCGCTGCTGTCGCGAAATATGAACGCTGCCTTATGATTCATGTCTAGACGCCTTTAGCAATTCGATCTGGTGCTTCGCCACCGCACCCCCAACCTCCACATACTGTTAACAGTGCAGATTAGATACGACAACTTGAAATGTTATATTATTGAACTATCACATAATAGTACCGAAAAAAAGCTGGCGCTAAAGTAGTAGAGATGGTGTAGTGTGGAACGAAGAACCACCCATTTTCTGTTCGTGTGCAACCTCTTTATCTAAACTCACCAAGAAAGATCTCGCTGAGAGGGACTGGACGAGCAGGAGATGGGAATGGTCTTAACTCGCAGGTGACCTCCCCACTACTTTATGGTTAGTAGTGAAAGTGTTGTGGAAAGCGGAAAAGGGGCGGGATTCGCCAGAAACCATTTCACTAGCTAGAAATACCAGTAAAGAAATCAACATCCGTGATTCTTCATGAAATCGATGTGACGCTCCTTGACCTTTGCAATGATCTTCTCTTCAATTTCCACACCGTTTTTCATTTGCTCCTGAATTGACTGGAATCTCTGGAGGTAAATTAAAGAGAAACTACTCATAGCACAACTAGGGCAGGGGCGGGAGATCCACATTGCGGCGACGAGGCGTCGCCGTGCGCGGCAGTCGCACCATTAGCTGGCTGGTTTAATGCCAGTGGGTCATAACTTGCTATACCGTGCAGCATTATTTCGAGTTATCTCGTTAGGAAAATGGCCACTTTCGAGCATGGATCTCTCGTCCATCATCCAAACAGATTTGTGCCAGACTACTTAAGGTGTGGAGCGTTACTTTCAGCACCAGTAAGGGTATTCCCTCGTTAGTTGACTATACAGATACAGGCACAGGGAGGTCATAACTGAGAGACGCAGGCGTATAGAGAGTCGAGAGAGTCGACGCGCCGCAGCACTGTCACGTTAAGTGGATTAGATCCTAGTGCGAACGTTGTCGCCTAGTGCGAACGTTGTCGCTTGCAAAGCCTATTTTGCCACATTTCGCCTGCCGAACTTTTGAGGAAGGGTTCCACACCTGTGACTACTCAGCTACGGAATTTACCTACTTTTTCGACATCCATCTTTGAACTTCAATACGTCCCCTTGTTAAGACACATTGGTACGCTCATACACATTGAGGGTGTATGAGACTATCAGCCCCCCAGATGTCGATGTGTCGTGGTCCCCCCGCCCAAACATGCCCAGGAATGGAGATACAGGGCCGTGAAACACGCTAATTCTTCCATGCTCCGCCCACTGCCTTTTTACGGCGCAGATTCCCGTCGTTCATAACATCCGTCGTAAGCGCGCCTGTCGCGTGCGGCTCCTTGGCACTTTGCCAAGTCCTTTAATTGCGCTCTCAAATACAAGTAAAACGCAATTTCCTGATGCGGATAACATTGGAGGTGCTACAAAATAAGAACAGAAGATGATGACAAGGGGCAGAACTCAAGAGCAACTCGGCTGCATCTGCAGTATCCATCAAGGGCCGCGCATTCCACAAACATGAAAATAAAACAGCCGCAAGCCGTAATCCCACTCGTTTGTTCTAAGTATTTCTATGGCTTTGGCGCCGGATCGTAGAAATTTACAGGCCAGTTTATCTAATTTGCCTTTCCTTGATTTTTTTCATTTTTGTTTTGTTTACATTTACATCGCTGTGCTTCATTTCTAGCCCTGTGTCATCTTCATCTCCTTGTACATGGATTTTGAAGCATGAGCAATACCTAAAATTTCATTCGCATCAGGAATTTGCGTCTTGCTTGTATTAAACTAAGGAGTATGCCGTTTTTATTCTCATGTTTCGTGGAAATACGTGGCCTCGCAGGGAATGTTGCAGAGTTTCATGGAAATACGTGGCCTCCGAGGGATGTTGCAGAAGTGGCACAGTTGCTTTTAAGTTCTGACCCTCGTCATCATCTTCTGTTCTTACTTTGCAGCACTTCCAGTGTTATCCGCATCAGGAAATTGCGTTTTACTTGTATTTGAGAGCGCAATTAAAGGACTTGGCAAAGTGCCAAGGAGCCGCACGCGACAGGCGCGCTTACGACGGATGTTATGAACGGCGGGAATCTGCGCCGTAAAAAGGCAGTGGGCGGAGCATGGAAGAATTAGCGTGTTTCACGGCCCTGTATCTCCATTCCTGGGCATGTTTGGGCGGGGGACCACGACACATCGACATCTGGGGGGGGCGGGGGCTGATAAGAGCTCATACCCCTCAATGTGTATGAGGCGCTACCATGATGTTCTAAGCCCAGCTGAAATGTGCCCTATATGCCCTAGTATATTATGACTATTCAGCTAAAAAGGAATAAATTTTCAAAACTTTTCAAAATTAATCACTAACCTGGTTCAAGTCGATGTCTTCCGTGTTGTGGGCATCCACCAAAACCACATGAACTTTTCTGGTTTGTAGAATATTTCCGATAACCAACTGATGCTTGTATTTCTCCAACGCACCGCGTGCTTTTGAAATCAGTATGGAATCATCGGTTTCTATAGTCCCTGAAAATGACGAATTACTCGTAGACACACACAGTCGAGATTTGAATCAGCTCGGAATGCTTCTCGTCAAAGCCCAATATGACCCCCTCTGATGGATTCGCCTTCAGAGACGCTCCCACTATTCATAGGCCTTAAACTACTTTTGTTTTAAGCAATATTCAACACACGACGAGTTTCGAAGTAGGATTCACAAATCTTTAGGGAAGCTTAAGTAAAAGATTTTACCTTGAACGATATAATGAAGGCCTTTGGCACCAGTTTGTTGACAATTTTATCGATAGCTTTTGGAGCAAGCTGAGAACGTAGAATGTTAGTCACTCCATCACCGACGATTGAATTTTGTGGCGTTGGCCTAAATTGGAACATTAGTTTTGTCTTGGGGGGGGACGACATCGGCGTTCACCAACTTGGCCCTGTCATAGCACTCTCCAAACACAGGAGCAAGGCAAATGTACTGACCGTATTTGCGAGCAACAAGGAGCGTGGCTGCCCTCAGAGCATTGCCCATGGACACCCCTTTTCAAGGTCGAAATATATAGATATGGACGTAATTAAATGTCGCTACGAGTTGTAATTCAGAGAAAGAATTAAACGCATCACGTAGAACATTTTTCGACTCAATAGCATATTGCTCCGTATTCTACATTGGGAACAGCCACCTTGCCTGCGAACGATTTCCCGCCCCAATAGGAGAACCCAGAATGAACAGGCTCACATAGCACTCACAATCTTTTCTTCTTCGATGTAGAAATCTGAGACTGCTGCGGCTAAGTATAACAATGCTCGTGATTTCAATGGTACCAATTGTCGACTTATCTAAACATGAACACTCAGAAATTTCAGTGGAAATAGAACGAACCGCTTACCTCGTCTAAATAGAAGAAGTAAGACTCTAGAGTTGAAAATGGGACGTACAGAATGCGATCTTTGTACATAGCCCTCAATTCGATGGCTTCTTTGATACGAGGCAAGTGCATACATACTACCTATAAATTTGGATAGTGTTTGCTTCGACCTTGCAGAGTAAGTTGTCTCTGAGGATTGGACGTTCTCAGGCGCTAAAATGAGGGGTCTATTCCGTAAGCCTGCAACTTAGCCTGATACGAAGCTACAATATGATCCTCGCCACGCAGACTCAATGGCCCTTTTATAATAGTCGAAGTCAACATGTAGCTCCCTTTCATTACATATGATATTGGGTTGGCACATAAGTACTTTCGTTTTTTTTCAACCGGAAATTTCGTTCCAAAGATGAAATGTTTTGCTAGCAAGCTTGATATCATCTGATAGGAAACTTCACGTAGTTTTAGAATATCAAAACGGCTTCGGTTGAGGGAATAATTTTTGTGGATTTTTTAGTCGTTGAAGTTGAAAGCGAAGTCGGCGAAAATTAGCACCTTCGACAACTGCCTCTATTTACGTATAGTCGAAGTGCTAAAATCGCTTAAGCTGCTCCATACATTTGGAAAAGGTCGAGCTAGAAGTTCCAGCAAGGGAATCTCACTAGGACGCTTTGGAACGAATTTCAAGAATTTTGAAGTTACCAACCTTCACCTCGCCGATATTGGGCAGCTCACGTCTATTCCGACCTTTGAAATTTTATGCAATTATGTTTCGCTGATATGTTTTGCATGTTCTGATAGCAAATTTCGTGCTCTATAACACTGCTATAGAAATCTGTTCTCCAGAGGTGTTTGCTTTCTGTTAAGTTCAGGTTATCATTACGGAACGCGAAGTCGTTGAGAACTAGCGTTCCCGTTCTCCACGAATTTTATGCTAACATTTGAATGTTTCGCTAATGTGTTCTATATGTTCTGATAGCCAATTTCGTGCTCTATAAACACGCCATCGTGCAGTTATTTTGAAAAATCCGTTTGATGAACCTTTTTTTTCAGGTGGATAATATGGAATGTCAGGTCGATAAGCATCAGCACTTCAGACATCTCCTCCTTTTCGCATTCAACAGAGGTATCAGTACCATTCTTGAAGCGTCTGAACCAATTTTGGGCTGTTTTCCGCAGAGGAGAGAGGACATCTTCTCCGTACACTTCGCGAATTTCCCGAGCAGCATCAGCAGCTCTGATACCTCTGTTGAATGCGAAAAGGAGGAGATGTCTGAAGTGCTGATGCTTATCGACCTGACATTCCATATTATCCACCTGAAAAACAAGGTTCATCAAACGGATTTTCAAAATAACTGCAACGCAGTGTTATAGAGCACGAAATTGGCTATCAGAACATATAGAACACATTAGCGAAACATTCAAATGTTAGCATAAAATTCGTGGAGAACGGGAACGCTAGTTCTCAACGACTTCGCGTTCCGTAATGATAACCTGAACTTAACAGAAAGCAAACACCTCTGGAGAACAGATTTCTATAGCAGTGTTATAGAGCACGAAATTTGCTATCAGAACATGCAAAACATATCAGCGAAACATTCAAAAATATTAGCATAAAATTTCAGGTGGAATAGACGTGAGCTGCCCAATATCGGCGAGGCGAAGATTAGTAACTTCAAAATTCTTGAAATTCTTTCAAAGCGTCCTAGTGAGATTCCCTTGCTGGAACTTCTAGCTCGACCTTTTCCAAATGTATGGAGCAGCTTAAGCGATTTTAGCACTTCGACTATACGTAAATAGAGGCAGTTGTCGAAGGTGCTAATTTTCGCCGACTTCGCTTTCAACTTCAACGACTAAAAAATCCACAAAAATTATTCCCTCAACCGAAGCCGTTTTGATATTCTAAAACTACGTGAAGTTTCCTATCAGATGATATCAAGCTTGCTAGCAAAACATTTCATCTTTGGAACGAAATTTCCGGTTGAAAAAAACGAAAGTACTTATGTGCCAACCCAATACATACATAGAATTTCCCGACGCAATACGGCTTGGAGGGGCACCTTATGGATTCGCTCGTTCCTTTTGTTAGTTCATACTAATGTTAATAACAGACTTGTTAATAACAGGTCTCATTTTAGTGAGACCTGTAAGCTCCTGTGAAGTTTCGAAATGATGAGAGTGAGCCAACCATTCGGCGCCCCTACCAAGCCGACCTGCGAATGTGCCCTTTCTTGTTTCACAGTCTTACGCACTGAATAACACCACCGAGCACATTATATACTTTTACAAGTAAAGTTTCCGAGACAGCACGTAATTTTGAACGGAATGTCATGATATCTAAAAGCGCTGCGATTTCTGCACCCACAAGGTGGAATTGAACCAGGTATTATTCCATGAAGTGATAATCTCAAAGAAATGCTTGTGTGTATCCGCGAAGACTTTCATAAGGCCCTGAAGCTACACACTTCGTTTAGGAATCAGTCCCGGACGATCTCTGTGGTAGAGCGGAAAAAAACAGTAATGAAAGAAAGGATAAGTTGGAACACACCCGATCGCCGTCGACCTCTAGCGATTCAAAAATACGTGGAAAGTTCCGCGAAAATGGTTTCAGTGATTCTTCCCGGTGTAGAAATATCACTGCATAATCGGCTTTCAAGAAGTATCTGAAAGAACTGCCATGTCATCCATCCATTCACAAGAGCCCTCTCAACCCAGTTCACAACAATAAATAATGGAGCTGGTGTAGTTAGTACTCGTCTGGGCCAGCATCGGCCCTAAGAAGCGTAAAATGATGAGTGGCCCCAAGTTCCTTGGCACCCAAGACAGACTTTAATTCCGACACAGAATGCCCATAAACAGCCAGCTAGGATGTGTTCATACTTTGGCATTTGGGAGGGAAGGAGTTGAAGAAAACCGGTGTTTCGACCTTCTGGGCAAATGCGCGCCAAAGGAGTTCATCCGGATCTATAGACCTCGGGCGCTAGTGCTCGCTCTTCCCAACCTATTCTCGAGTCCCTAGCAACCGGGATCGATCGATTCCTATCTAGTTCCTTAATCTTCACTTTCTCGTGAAACATCGAGCCGCCGATTCTCCTATTCTCCTGTCGCTAAGTACGAGCACTGCTTTACTGGTGGTCATTTTGAGAGAATAGAGCAAATGGTTCCATCTTAATTTCCAAACATTTCTAAATTTGAGCATGTTCTCGTAAAAACTCACTCTGCACTAGCTGCACCTCGTGTGCCCATAGAAAAATTGTCGATGAATCTTACGCAGTTCTTTTCCAAATTCACTTTTGTTCCACCGCTCTGAAGAATGGCTTACATGTCGAAAGAAAGGGAAGCTCGAAGAGTCTCAACTATGGGGTTTGAAGCAAAAACAGCAAACATCAAGCCAGGTAAGGCAAGAAATTGGATTCGTCTGGGATGATAGAAACCACAGCGCATTGAAAAAGTTACTAAGATCCAGAGTGGAAGTAGAATGCGTGCCGCATCCCATAGAAGGATTCACGACAAAATCTTGATTCTTGATAATCCACAGCACGATTAAATTCTAGTCTACGGCTAAGTATAGCATTACGCTGCCACGACCTATTACAATGAACTGATTTAGATCCTGTATAGGAGAACTTCCAAAATATGGCCCCTCAACATCATCCCTCCTTGCAAATTCCTATCAACTCGTGGAAGAGGACATCTACTATCGAACTACAGGCAAAAACAGCTACTTCAGCTGATCGGGAGGGGTGGAAGGTGGACAGGCGAAAAAGCAGGCCTTTAGCAATATGCCAAAGCAAGCCTTTGGCAACATGCCAAATATGGCACCCTCCCATCCCTGAAGGAAGATGCCCATCGATTATGGGCCCATGACAAACTGTACAACAGGAACTCACCTACCGTGATGAAAGCTATCGGTCTTTCTGCGTTCTCTTCGAGAAACGCCTGAACCTTCCCAGCAACTGACTCAAATTTCGGCATTTTCAACCCTGCAATTGGTGTATGGTAACACATTTCATCCAAGCTCTAAATGAGGAATACTCTCGGACGTATTCCTGTTCATTTCATGCCATAATGCAAATATTCGAACAATTTATCTTTACAGCATTCTACAAAAACCAAATAAATACTAAGACAGCATGAAACGTTCTCATAACGTTTAGAGATCGGAAAACAACGGAAACGCGCTTATCAGTACTCCCTTATCACGTGGGAAGACCAATGAAATTAACGGCTTTGCACAATTAAACAGGATGTATGCGATTGTCAGCAGCAGTTTACGTACAAAAGAAAAAGATCTGATAGGGACTGATAAGAGGAACTTGCATGAAACCATATCGCCGGTTCAAATGGCTCAAATGGTACTGGAAAATGATGCTGGGGTCGCGAAAAGTTGTGCCGCGAACATAACCCAGCCATAACTGGACCATTGGACTCCCCATCACGTAGGGCCCAACGCTGAGCACGGTGAATCGAAGATGCCAGGATACCCAGGAGGCGAATCTTGTCATCATTCTGTTACTTAGAGTCCCAATCTTGTACACGGTAGCCCACAACGCAATCGGATGAGAAGTGCAACTCTAGTAAGTCCGTTGCACGGAGAGGATGAAAGATAGCGACAAGGGTTCTGAGGACCTCAGCAGTCATAGTGGCTCCGCCCACCACCAGTGACACCCCAAATACGAACTTCACTGCGATTATATTCATAATTGCTTGCTATTTTGTGCCAATCGCCTACGCTTATATCACTGACGACAAGTCCTTGCACTTCCCAGTGAGCTATCGTAAAAGAGGGGCTACGCGATCGCGATCAAATTATCTGAAATGGGCCAAGCATGTAGTAGTCCAGGTCCCAATTACAGGCCTAGTCACACGTACTGTTGAACGGAAAAACAGAAACAGGGAACAATCTGCCTCTTACGCTCTTGAATGTATATGAGCTTTTCAAGGAACTAAAACAACAAAGCACTTCGTAATGTGGTGATAAGAAATTCAGGTGCATTTCACGCTGATCGAATGGGAGGGGTTACTTGGGATCAGAAAACATTACCGGCGAGCGCAGGCGTCGCGTGCTTACTGTTGCCGCAGCGACAACGCGGCGAAAAAGAAACAAAAGCCCAGCGATGTTTCACTGCCGTGTTGAGGCAATGGATTTCCTGGCTTTCTAGCTTTGAGCCGTAGAACGGTAAATAGTAGGAAAATGGGGAAGGTGAAAGAAACAGGTGGTGAGTGATTAACAGCACCAGGTCAAGGAAAGCAACTAAAAAGCATATTCCAAAGGCGGAACATTTATTGAGAGATATGCCGGTTCCACTGTGATTACACATTATGCTTATCACAGCGCGCTCCGGCACTACTGATTGAAGGCGAACAAGGGCTGTTTAGAGGTAAACTATCAAATTGCATTGGGAGCGCCAGTCCAAGTTCTTCGTCGCACTAACCCAGCGACTCAGCACTCCTCGCGCACGCGCCACCGGTCAGTTTCTGTCTCCCCAGGTTACGTTACCGCTATGGCCTTCTCATTGATAGACCTCGTGACAGTGAGGGAAAAGGCGAACCAATGAGGGAAGTCGATGGTCCAAGTGACACCACCCAAAATGACCAGCGTGGTATGAGCCTTTTCACATGGATCAATCAGAGCTCATTCAATTCAGCGATTATAAAAGTGTACCAGAAGAACCAATACGAACCTAATTACATAGAAAAAAAATAGAACATATCAACAAGCATGAAGAAACAGAAAGTGCCAGATTTGTGATGTCAGAACGATCACTTAGCCTCTTCAGTCTTTTCAGCGTCCGTCTTCGGCTCCTCTTCGGGTTTCTTATCCTCTTCAACAGGTTTCTCCTCTTGTGGCGCTTCTTCCTTCTTTTCCTCGTCTTCCTTTTCTTCAGGTTCCGGTGCCTTAGTAATCGTGTCCTTGTCATCCTCATCACCCATCACTAGTTCCGCCAAAACTGGCGTCTCTTCTACGATCTTTTCGCGTTCGGCGGCTGGAAAGCAGGTAAATAAATGGTGCGGACAGGGCGATCACCAGGAATGTCAGAAAAAGCCTTACCGAGCCTTGCATTAATCTCATCTTGCTTCTTTTTGTATTCTTTAT